ACATATTAATTTGTCCTATTTAAGAACAACTAACGGTGACATAAATGAAATGCAAATTATTAAACTAAAACTATTAAGGGACACTTTTGAAGACATGGGGACACTTTTGAAGACATATTAATTTGTTCTATTTAGGAACAACTAACGGTGACATTAAATGCAAATTATTAAACTAAAACTATTAAGGGACACTTTTGAAGACATGGGGACACTTTTGAAGTCATATTAATTTGTCCTATTTAAGAACAATTAACGATGACATAAATGCAAATTATTAAATTAAAACTATTAAGGGACACTTTTGAAGATATGGGGACACGTATGAAGTCGTCTGAATTTTTTCTATTCACAAAAAACTAATGGTGACATAAGTGCAAATTATTAAACTAAAACTATTAAGGGACACTTTTGAAGTCATATTAATTTGTTCTATTTAAGAACAACTAACGGCGACATTAAATGCAAATTATTAAACTAAAATTATTTAGGGACACTTTTGAAGATATGGGGACACGTATGAAGACATTAATTTTTTATATTCATGAACAACTAATGGTGACATAAATGCAAATTATTAAACTAAAATTATTTAGGTACACTTTTGAAGATATGGGGACACGTATGAAGTCGTCTGAATTTTTTCTATTCACAAAAAAAAAAAACTAATGGTGACATAAGTGCAAATTATTAAACTTAAAACTATTAAGGGACACTTTTGAAGACATGGGGACACTTTTGAAGACATATTAATTTGTTCTATTCAAGAACAACTAATGTGACATAAATACAAATTATTAAATTAAAACTATTAAGGGACACTTTTGAAGACATGGGGACACTTTTGAAGACATTAATTGTTTATATTCATGAACAACTAATGGTGACATAAATGCAAATTATTAAACTAAAACTATTAAGGGACACTTTTGAAGACATGGGGACACTTTTAAAGTCATATTAATTTGTTCTATTTAAGAACAACTAATAGTGACATAAATGCAAATTATTAAATTAAAACTACTGAGAGACACTTTTGAAGACATGGGAACACTTTTGAAGACATGGGGACACTTTGGAAGTCAACTTTAATTTGTTCTATTTAAGAATAACAATGGTGACGTAAATGCAAATTATTAAACTAAAACTATTAAGGGACACTTTTAAAGACATGGGGACACTTTGGAAGTCAACTTAATTTGTTCTATTTAAGAACAACAATGGTGACATAAATGCAAATTATTAAATTAAAAATATTAAAGGACATTTTGAAGACATTGGAGAATGTCTACAGAGCGTGAGTCCAGAGAGATGAATTTGTTCTGTTTTTGTAGTGAGTAGTACTACATTATTTGCGAAACGAGATCGACGAAAGACCGACGTAACTTGTATTTCCTCGGCGTCGATTCTCGGTAAATGGATGAATTTTTATTCTGAAAGGCATATTAGCATAAATAATGAGCTGAACCAGGCATAACTTTACATCAGCGTAATGAGTCTGCATACTGAATATATCAGCAACGATTTGTTTGGTTGTTACATCACGGTGCTTTATTTCTAGTCATGTA